GCGGTGGCGGCAGTCCTGTGACTCATGCCTGCGTCGAAGCAGATCAACCGGCGATTCACGCTTTTAAAAAAGCAAATCCGAGCACTTCTGGAAAAAAAGGTCATCTCGCATTAAATTCCGCGGCGCGATTGGTATTCCGACGTCGTTTCTGGCAGAGTTTATAAGCGGCGGGTCGCTCCCAGGCTAGAGTCGCCCTGCCAACCTGGACTACGGCAATAAGAGCGTCCGCTCGCTCCCTCGGTAAGTGTCCTCTAAACAGCATCCTAATTTTTTTAAAGCCTTTGGGAACCTCTGGAGCATTTTTTTCTCCCAAAAATCGGTTTTGGTCGCTGTCGTATGAAAAGAGGAATAACGAGGTTTTTGATACACCTACCGCCCTAGACATAGTGTTAACCTGTTACTTCACTTCTAGGCATTGTCTAGAAAATATCTTCTGCTTATGGCTGTTTTCTTTCTCGTCTTAAAAAAATTTAAATGCCTGTTTTCCATTGAAATCATTGATCCGTTGCATTTACACGCGGGTGTAAATCCACCCAGCAGTGGAAATGAATCGGTAGCTACCGGTTTGAAAAAAGCTGCTAACAAAGAAAGCATTCTTTCGTTACCGCGACCTTCATTTTCTTTGCAAGGGGAAGAAAATAAATCGCAGGTAGACGTGGGGACAAAGAGACGAGCTGGGCAGTGACCCGGCAATTCTCGATCAGCGACCCTGTATTGGTTATCGGCACGCCGTGTCCGCCAGGAGCGAGTTGAACATCTAGCGAGGAGCGAGGGCTGGTCCTGCACCTTCCTTTCCCCAGACAGACGTGCCTCTCCTGCCATTTGCCCGGCTAAAGCGAGCACGGGCACGGGAGATCGCTGGTTAGTGCTGGAGCAGAGTGGCCCCGGTTTGCTGACACATGTGTGTGCAAACACACATGTATGTGGCGCCTGTCATTGGACCTGGGCAAAACGCACCTTTGTGGTGGCGGGGTTCTATCTGTCAGTCTTTCCTGAATGCTTTAGCCTGACGTGTGTTTGGTAAAGCCCAGAAGCGGGCTGTGTTTGGGATTGTAGGTCGTTTGGGCTGGCGATTTCGACGCCCGCTTTGCACGTTGGTCTCCATTTGATGCGAGCCATATAACTGCCCTGCTCAGTGGCCACCGATATAATTGCTGTAGGCTTCATGCTCTGCTAAATCCGTCATTCCAGCGCGGGGGTAGTGCCCTGGAATCTAACGAAGGGAAGATTTTGCTCTTCAGTCTGTCGAGGCATTTTCCCGGTTCGGCCGGTCCTGCCGCCGCCTCGGGACCTGCGCGGCTGCTGCCCGCTGGCGTCTGGACGGGACTCTGGTGCGGTGCTCCAGGAGACTAGACTACTAAACCCGCTGTTCTTCCTTCCAGCAAATTCCTTGCTGCCCACCCCTCAGAGGAATATCGAGAAAATACGAGCTCCGAGGACTGGGGCTTTTCTGAAAGGATGGCTTCCTCCGCTCCCTCATCCTCCAACGATGCTCCGGACCCCACCCCACCTAATCTGCGACCTACAAGTAGGTTTTAATATTTTCCTCGTTTTAAGTATTTTGGAGGCTTTCTCCATTTAGGCTCAGAAAGACCAGTTTCGAAACGAAATGATACATCTGTGAAGCCCTGTTCCGCACCATTAAGCAAGGTGCGGAAAGTGCTCTACACAAAGAAACCATCTTCCTACTGGGAACAGGAGAGGTCGGTCCGTGGCGAGTAAAACGCTGTGAGGAAAAGCCCACCTTACCGGCCAACGCTGTCTTTATCTTACAGCCACGTTTGAGAGATACAGACAATAAACTGACCTCCCAGATGGACAAAAAAACCGGGATATTGGAAGGGGTGCGGAGAAAACGAATCAGTTAAAGGGCGAAGTTACACCAGGGTATTAAAGCAGGTGTCTCCCAGCTACGTTTTATAAATGCTAATTCTGCAGCTTCTTTTCAGCCTACGCTGAAGCCTGTAATCAAGCGAAATTTGGATGCTAATTGCAGCTTTTCAAAGCGTTATATTCCTAATTGCTCTGAATTCGCCTTGAGTTATTGAGGTGTGAGTGGGAAGCAAAGGCTGCTGCAGGTGGATAGGAAATCAGTTTATAGCCCAGCCCTGCCAGGCAGTTCAGACCATCGCCTACAGGAAAAAAAATTAAAAACAAAACAATAAGAGGCTCGATGCTATGAAGCATCAGAGACAAAGAGCGGGCAACAGTAAGAAATGAAAGGTTGTCAGGGACAGCAGAGCGGGTAATAGCTTTTACCCTGAAAGAGCTACGAGACACAAGCATCGGAGTCATTATTGTCATTATTCTGAAACTGGAAAAAACGGGGAAGGGGGAGAACGGCAGCACTGGGTCTTGTTTCAGGCGCGCGTACCAGGCACTGCTGCCTTCGACTGAGGTGCCACACGCAGAAATCGAATTAATTGGCAACATGGCTAAAACAAAGCTAACCGCGGGCAGCAGCATCCTGCCCTGCCCACACGGGCTCCCCGCCCCCNCGGGCTCCTCGAGGTGCTGGAATGAGTCTATCTCCAGCGTGACGTGGAAGGCTCGCTGACTTCATTGTCTGGCTCCTTCCCCTCCCGGGCCTCAGATTCTACAAGGTTGTAAATATTTATGTTAAACCATGTTTGTTTACTCCAGACACACGCACTTCTGGAAAGCCAGAAGGGAAGGAATAAGCGTGTCGGGTATCCACCCGGCCGGGTCGCACTTCATAGTGACTGATGGCTTAGGGGTTCTTTGTGTGGTCTTTCGTTGACTCTTTGTAGTGCAGGCCTGCCATGACTTCCTTTGAACGTTTGTTTACGTTTATAAAAATGGTTAGTTATAGATATATTATTATTTCTCACACTCTGCACTGAGCAAATGTCTTGCTCAGTTGGTTTAAACCAGCTTTAAAATGATGATATGAGAAAAGGTCGTGTTAGCTCGGGCCATTAATATCTGTAAAGCTATGTTTAAAAACTGGCTTTTGTGCTGCCAGTGTTTTTTGTTACTCGTCTAGTTCCTAGAGAGTAAGTGTGCTCGACAAAGCAGTCGTCTTGGCTACTTAATGCTGTCAGTCAGATGGTTTCCCAAACAGGCTTGTAAGTTTTTGCTTTTCCCTCGAGTCCTTCAGAAAGGACACAGCCCTGCTGCTTGTTGTGCTGCCCAGCATCTCCTGCACAGGATGAAATTTTCTGGCTCCATCGGGCTGTTTCCCCTCCTCTTTTCTCATTGCGGATTCCTCCCAGCCCCTTACGTGACATCTTTTTGAAAAGCCTTTGGTTTAGGCATCTGCGTAGCTACTGTGGCATGCTGAAATACAGCACCGCGGTCACAACCACAAAATGTTGGCCGAGCATATTCGGAAAGTGGGATGGAGTAACGCAGACATGGGGTTGTTAGGGGTACAAAAAGCTTGTTGTCTTGATGCTTCTGGTTTTAGCAAAGCGATGTCTGGTATAAAATCGTAATGGCAACACTGAGGGCAAGTCACAGGCATCCAGGTGTTCGCTGCAGCGGTACCCGTGCCTCTGCCACCCTCTGGCGGGGAGGAGCGGGGCGA